GGACTACTATATATATGGCCTTTTCCCACCAGTGCTACCCGCCGGTGGGTCATTTAACGATGCAGATGGTCGTTAGAGAACAAAGAATGCTTGTTACAATACTAAATGAAGAAATAAGATGGGCTTGAACAAATAATAACAGTTAAAACCTTAACAGCACAGGGTAAGGTGACTAGATTATATAATAGTAAATATAACACATCATTACAGGAATAATATGGAGCAGCATGGAAGCATGTTATATATAAAAAGAATAGAAAAATACGACAAGGCCGTAACAATATAAAGAAAAAAGAAAGTAGTATCAGTAGTAGTAGTAGTAGTGTGTGTGTGGGGGGGAGGGGGGGAGGGAGGGGGTGGGAGGTTGATTGTACAGGTATTTGCCTTTTTCTTGAATTTCCACGGAAAAAAAAATTAAAACAGGAAGATTTAAGATTAAGGAAAAATCATTTAATATTGTTCTGCCAGACTCACAATAATTCATGTTTAATATTGATAATTTTTTTTTTTACTAAAGTTATTTGCTATTTATTCTGAAACTTGTTCTCGGTTTGGAGCGTATTATTCCTCTACGTTCAGACCAATATTAATTGTACCAAAATACCAAATCATTTTGCCCCCCAATTTTTATATAAAGTAAACGATTTAGTGAAACACCCGACGAGTCCACAGGTACAAGTTGTGAGGGCCGCTGCTGTTGAGGGCGTTGATAAGTGTCAAGAGTAATACAAGATGGGCCCGTGTGTGTCCACGACGTTTTCTGGTGGCAACACGGAATAAGTCTGTGACATTCTTTGGGTTCCAAGGATTTGTCTTCTTTAGTGTATGGTCTGTTGCCTCTTCCACTTGATAATTTTTGTCTTTAGGTATAATTATAGCCAAACCAAATGTAACACAGTGTAAAATAAGAGAAACACTCGAACCCCCCGGCGTAGCCTCCTCTGTTATAGATCCAGGTTCACAGTAGAGTACCAAACGGAGCTCCGAGTTGTAGAAAACCATACATGACTGTCATTCTAAGAGTTCTAGAATGACTGTTCGTATTATCCGTTATGTAACTGTAGGAAGCCATAAGAAGCATCTCTGGGCCTCCGCCAATGCTGATGACGAAGGACCCTAACAGTAAAACATAAGGTGACCACGACTGATAGAGGGATTCGAGTAGGTAGACGACACTCTAAAGTATATCACCAGTTAAGGGGAGAAGGATGGTAACACGTCGTCCCCTCTTATCACTCCAGGAGGCGATGAAGGAGAGCAACAACAAGGGAAGGACTGTGGATAGCAATTGGCCGTAAAAATTGAAAACACCGTCAAGCTTCTGAACCTTCACTTGCAGGTCTGTGTGATATTTGTCGTTCATCACGGCGCACTCCTCAGCTGTCTTATTCAGCGTCACCTGGCAGAACCTGTCTAGTCTGAGGTTCTCCGTTATTATAAACTGCGTACAGTCTGCTGCACAGTGGAGAAACAATACGGGTTCTATAGTAACAGAGGAGAGAGTATCTTGAATAGCCCTTTGGAGGTGTGTCAGGGTGCGTTTACCTGCCATGGGTGCGTTTCCCGTACTATCGTTTAGAAAAAAAGCACGCAACTCTTTAAGGACCTTGATATTTCCCGATAAGTCACATGATTGGTACTATCCATTTGAAGATATGATTATATATCTATAATGAAACATATTCCTTTAGTTGGTAGATTCATCCATCGTTATTTTTCTTGCCAGTTACAAAAACATTAGGGAATTATTAACGTTCTTTCTAAAAAGGAAGGGTTCTTATTCTAGCAAAGTCCTGGAAAATGTATAATTCTGGACAATAATGACAGGAAAGGGTAAATAATTTCGACTAAGATCTTCTTACGAAATAATTAAAATTTTTAAATTGTTCTGTTAATTATCTAAGCTCAGTTAAAGTGATCACACTATACAGATGTAAGAACGAACGCTCCGAAACATGGACGGTCGCACCAGTACCACCAACATCTAATAAAGACTGTTCCTGTACCACCAACATCTAATAAAAAAAGTTCCTATACAACCAACATCTAACAAAAACTATTCCTGTACCACCAACATCTAATAAAGACTGTTCCTGTACCACCAACATCTAATAAAAAAAGTTCCTGTACAACCAACATCTAATAAAAACTGTTCCCGGACCACCAACATCTAAGAAAGACTGTTCCTGTACCTCCAACATCTAATAAAGACTGTTCCTGTACCACCAACATCTAATAAAGACTGTCCCTGATACCTCCAACATCTAATAAAGACTGTTCCTTAACCACCAACATCTAATAAAAACTGTTCCTGTACCTCCAACATCTAATAAAGACTGTCCCTGATACCTCCAACATCTAATAAAGACTGTTCCTGTACCTCCAACATCTAATAAAGACTGTTCCTGTACCTCCAACATCTAATAAAGACTGTTCCTGTACCTCCAACATCTAATAAAGACTGTTCCTGTACCACCAACATCTAATAAAGACTGTTCCTGTACCTCCAACATCCTAAAGACTGTCCCGTACCAGCAACATCTAATGAAGACTGTTTCCTGTACCTCCAACATCTAATAAAGACCGTTCCTGTACCTGCAACATCTAATGAAGACTGTTCCTGTATTCCAACATCTAATAAGACTGTTCTATGCCACCAACTATCTAATAAAGACTGTACCTGTACCTACAATGATCTTAATAAAGACTGTTCCTGTACCTCCAACATCTAATAAAGACTGTTCCTGGACCACCAACATCTAATACAGACTGTTCCTGTATCTCCAACATCTAATAAAGACTGTTCCTGTACTGCAACATCTAATGAAGACTGTTCCTGTACCACCAACATCTAATAAAGACTGTTCCTGTATCTCCAACATCTAATAAAGACTGTCCCTGTACCTCCAATATCTAATAAAGACTGTCCCTGTACCTCCAACATCTAATGAAGACTCTTCCTGTACATCCAACATCTAATTAAGACTGTTCCTGTACCTCCAACATCTAATAAAGACTGTTCATGTACCACCAACATCTAATAAAGACTGTACCTGTACCTACAACATCTAATAAAGACTGTTCCTGTTCCACCAACATCTAATAAAGACTCTCCCTGTAACTCCAACGTCTAATAAAGACTGCCCTTGTACCTCCAACATCTAATAAAGACTGTACCTGTACCTCCAACATCTAATAAAGATTGTTCCTGTACATCCAATATCGAATAAAGACTGTTCCTGTACCTTCGACATCTAATAAAGACTGTTCCTGTACCTCCAACATCTAATAAAGACTGTTCCTGTACCTGCAACATCTAAATAAGACTGTTCCTGTACCTGCAACATCTCATAAAGAGTGTTCCTGTACCTCCATCATCCAATAAAGACTGTTCCTGTACCTCCAACATCTAATATAAGACTCTCCCTGTACCTCTAATATCTCATAAAGACTGTCCTTGTACCTCCAACATCTAATAAATACTGTTCCTGTACCTAAAACATCTAATAAAGACTGTTCCTGTACCTCCAACATCTAATAAAGACTGTCCCTGTACCTCCAACATCTAATAAAGACTGTCCCTGTACTTCCAATATCTAATAAAGACTTTTTCTGTACTTCCAACATCTAATAAAGACTATTCCTGTACCTCCAACATCTAATAAAGACTGTCCCTGTACTTCCAATATCTAAGAAAGACTTTTTCTGTACTTCCAACATCGAATAAAGACTGTTCCTGTACCTCCAACATCTAATAAAGACTGTTCCTGTACCACCAACATCTAATAAAGACTGTTCCTGTACCTCCAACATCTAATAAAGACTGTTCCTGTTCCTCCAACATCTAATAAAGACTTTATCTGTATCTGCAACATCTAATAAAGACTGTTCCTGTACCTCAAACATCTAATAAAGACTGTCCCTGTACCTCCAACATCTAATAAAGACTGAACTAAATCTGTGTGTGTGTGTGTGTGAGTGTGTGTGTGTTTTCACAGGGACAAACATTATCACTGGGAATGTACCATTTGTTGTACCTTGATAAATAATTGTATAACTGATTAAGGCAATATATATATCACTTCTCGTCCCACACATTACGATACGCAGATGTACAAATATAACCCCCATACTATAGGGACGACACTTAATATTTTATTTGGCTAATGCCAGACGATTGTATTAAGCAGAGAGGAAACTTCGTGCCCAAGTGCCCTTTTGTGCCCTCAAGATACTGAAGAAAATAATAGTATCGAACATGATATTGTATTATAAGAAAAGAGGCAGGTTCACTTGTGGGTACTACATATATCAAGGAAATATATATGAACGTGATCCTAAAGTTCAGATAATGAATATTTGTCGTAACTAAATTAGAGAAAAGATAAACGAAAGGAGAGAATAAGTAAAAGTTCTATTAATAATACACCGCCATCCATCCTTGGTTGACGTTATAATGTCATTACTGCTCTTCAATAACTAAGGTGTTTAAGTGAGTTACAAGGTTAGTAATAACACTAATCCATCAACAATAAAAGACAAAGATGTAGAACTTGCTGTTCCTTCCTACAAGGCTACACATAAAACAGAGTTTATATTAAGGGTCGCTTGTACAGTCATTAGATGACTCATTAAGGACAAAAACAGTGAAAGTTCGTCATAATCAGAAACACCCAAGATATTATTTAGTTTAGTATTACTTTCGGTAACTATAGAAAGTGAATCCCATGGAGTTCTCGCCCCTGATAAAACACACTGAAGATAACGGATTTGTTTCAGTGAGCGGCAAGAAGACTGACGGATGAGAGACTCTACAGTTGTTTTTCTCTTATGTGTCAGATTACTTTATGCAAAAACTGCACAAGTCGAATCAAGTTCAGATATAAATGAGTCCATACTTAACGTAACAGAGAAAATATCTTAGCGAAAGGGACATATTACGGCATATTCACGTATTAACATTCAGTGGTCAATAAATTTAGTCAGTTGGTGTTTCTTACCTTAGACATTTGACTCCTGACAGCTATGCCGGAGAGAGCCATCGGTGCCACGATAAACAGATACGGAAACCACCACTGGCTGGCGGTCGTCACCAGTCCCAGAGTTAAACATTTCAATAATAAGAAGAAATCCCAACCTGCGCCTATCAGACAGTCGGGTACACTTAGTCTGCGAAGAATCGGGGCTGTGACGAGAGTAGTGATCTGTTGATCCAGCTGGTTAATGATTAAATAGAAACTAAATTGGTACTGGTCCCAATGGAACACCCTACGAATCCATAGGAACATGTTGTGAGATGTGCCGCTGATGAGGGCGACGAAAACAGTCAGCAGTAGTGTAAGGTGGGCTCGTGTTCGTCCTAGACGCTTTCTGATGGCGACACGGAACAAGTCTATTACATTCCTGTGATTCCAAGGACTTGTTTCCTTTATTATATGACCTGACGCCTCTTCCACTTTATTGATCTTGTCTTTAACTATAAAAGCAGCCAGACCAAGAGTGCAACAGTCTAGAAGGAGAGTAACACTGAAGTTCCAAATGTATCCTTTCCTGTTATAGATCCAGGCTCCCAGAAGTGTTCCACATGGAGCTCCTAGATACAAACAAGCATTCGTGATGGCCATTCGACGGTGTCTAGAATCCATGTTCGTACAGTCTGCTATGTGACTAAAGGAAGCCATAAGAAGCATCGCTGCACCCCCACCAATGCTCCTAAAGAAGAAACCTAACAGTAGAATATAAGGTGTCCACGATGGAAAGAGCGACTCAACGAGGTAGACGACACTACGAAGTATATGACCTGTTAATGATAGAAGGATGGGAACCCGTCGTCCTCTCTTGTCACTCCAGGAAGCGATGAAGGAGATCAACAAAATCGGGATAATTGTGGCTGTTAAATTTCCATAAAAGGTGAAGACACTCTCAAGCTTCTGCACCTTCACTTGCAGGTCCTTTTGGTGGCCGTCGTTCATTACGGCGCAGTTATCAAATGACTCATTCAGTATCACCCGACAGAACCTGTCTAGTGTGAAGTTCTCACTTGTTACCAACTGTGTAAAGAACCCCAAAGAGTGTAGAAATAACACAGGTTCTACAGAAATGGAGAACCAAATATTATGCGCGAGCTTTTGAATTTGTGTCAGTACACGTCTGCCAGCCATGGTTGCCGCTCCCACACTAACTTATCCAGGAATGTTTAAAATTCCAAATAATTCACACGGTAGAAGACTCACTCTCGATAACGCTTCTGCAATTATCTTTCATATTTAATCATCATCACATACTGAAACAATAAATGCACATTAAGAAAAAGCTAAACGACTCTGTAGAAATATTAATTTGCTTATATATATATATATATATATATATATATATATATATATATATATATATATATATATATATATATATATATATATATATATATATATAATCATACAGAAAAAAGGGAAACAATGGAGCACCTTAGCTTTCATCTTTATTCAAGACATTTTCAGAGGCAACTGAATTACAAGGACCGAGAGAGGCTTAAGTACACAGGGTGACCTTACTAAACATGAATTCAGGTCATAAACACGACCTCCACTAATCCGCACACCAACACCACCACCACACACACAAAGGAGCTTAAAAGAAAGGGCGACGCAACTAGTCATATTAAGTCAGGTAAAAAATATGGGAACCACTAATCATCTATCCTACAAATGAGTGTCTGAAAAAAAGAGCTGCCCTTTTGGCAAAAGAGTTGGCTAGGTATAACATAGACATAACAGCCATTGGTGAGTCCCGGCTCCCAGACGAGGGTCGACTCACAGAACAGGGTCTGGCTTTACCTTGAAAAATGAGCGGCCCTTGTGGCAAAAGAGTTGGCTAGGTATAACATCGACATAGCAGCCTTTGGTGAGTCCCAGCTCCCAGACGAGGGTCGACTCACAGAACAGGGTCTGGCTTTACCTTCTCATGGAAGGGTAAGCCTGCTGCGGAAAGAAAGAGTATTGAGTTGGCTTTGCCATCTTCCAATGCATCCTACATAGGCCAACTGAAATGCCTGTTGGGATCAACGAGTGCCTCATAAAGATCCGAGTCCCGCTGTATCACTCATGTCATGCCCCCTTCATCAGTGCCTTCGCCCCTACACTAGATGCAGAGGATGACGTTAAGGAGGCCTTTTATGCCAACCTCGACAGAGTGCAAACTTCTATCCCCTGAGAAGATAAGATTGTGCTCCTTGGTGACTTTAATTCCAGAGTTGGCAGAGATGCTGAATATTGGAAGGGAATCAAAGGGAGATATGGACTTGGTAAGTGTAATCCCAACGGTCTACTCCTCAGCAAGTGTGCTGCACACACCCTCACTATCACCAATACCTTGTTTAAGCAGTCTGACAAGTTTAAGGGTTCGTGGCAACACCTGCAATCCAAACACTGACATCTCATTGACTACACGTTGTTAGAGAAAGAGATCGCCGAGATGTCCTCATCACCTGTGCCAAACGTGGCTGAGACCATTGCAACACTGATCATCGGCTCATCATAGCCAAGTTCTCACTTCACGTTGCCCCAAAACGGCAGAGGGAGCAAGCCTCCAGAAGAGGTTTTAACATCTATGCGTCTGGAGGATCCAACACCAGCACATGCTTTCAGAAAGCAACTCGAACATGGGCTGATAAACAACTTGACAACAAACAACCCAAATCCCAATACCGAATGGGATATTGTCGACACTGTCATGACAAAAACCTCCAGAGACCCTCGGTCAGATCGAAAGTATATACCAGGACTAGTTTCATAAAAATGACCCGGAAATCAATGGACTTGTCGATGACTGCCAGAACAACCATCAGTCTTGAAATAAACTGATACCTTCTGCAAGAAGAAAGCAGCGATCCGATGCGATATTTGTTATCTAAGAATGAATAGTTTAAAAATAAAGCATATGAAGCGCAAAAACTTGAAGATCAACACAAGATGTGCGAATTTTTCAATTCCACTAAAACTTTTCATGGGCCAGTCACTCAAGACGCAGCCCCCTTCTGCTCACCCAACGGTAACTCCATAATTAAAGACGAAAAAGGCCTCCTTCAGTGCTGGAAAGAGCACTACTATTCACTGCTCAATCAAAACACCGATGTGAATGTCCTGACTACCCAGGAGATCCCTCAGTATCCAGAGTTGACTCATCTTAGCTATCCTCCATCCCTGGATGAGGTAGCTACTGCCATCAAACAGATGAAAAATAACAAAGCCTCAGGGCCTGATGAAATCCCAGCCGAGGTGTATAAAGCATGAGGACCTCTGCTTACCAGCCGTCGCCAGTCTCTACTGGAGAATATATGGGAAAAGGAGGAACTCCCCCAAGCTCTTAAAGACGACTCCATTGTCAATATGTATAAGAACAAGGGAGACCGGCCAGACTGTGGCAACTACAGCAGGATCTCGCTGCTGTCCATAGCAAGCAAGATTATCGCCCGAGTCCTCCTAAACAGACTTCTTCCTGAGGCGGAAAACTTCTTCTCAGAATCTCGATGTGGCTTTAGCCAGGGGTGTCAAACTCATTTGCCAAGGTGGGCCAGATTTAATATGAGTACACAGTATGCGGGCCAAGTAACATAATTATGAGCACATTGCAATCACCTCTTAGGTGAGTAGTACGACAAAATAAGAATGGTGGATTTAGTCTGCGCTCGTGCGAAACCCTTAAAAACAAACTAATCAAGTGTTTACTTACCTTGATCAATCTTATTGTTTGCTACTGCTGCTTACTGATAATTGGCACCTCTTGGTATGGACCAGTGCATCAAAGTTTGGCACTAACGACTGAGCTGTAGCAACCTTCAGTATTGAATTAAGGTGTGCATCAGTAAGTTGAGACCGAAGCCGAAAGTTGTTCAAGTTCATCACTGAAAAGAGTTGTTCACAGACATTTGTACTTCCGAACATTGACATAATCTTTGAGGGAAAACATTTAATCCTGGGATAATTTGGTCCAAAACATTGATAAAATGTGCCAACATCAACACTCGAAAACTTATTTCTCAGCACAGAATCACACTGGAGCTCATTGGTGATGTTGATCGAGTATATTGTTGTAGGAAACAGTGGACTATTTTATTCAGCTGAGGGATGTACTCACTATTTAGTTTTAGCTCCTCAAGGTAAAGCTGGAGCAGCAAATGGGCCGCGGGCCGCATGCAAGAGTGTGTCGTGCCGCATGCGGCCCATGGACCGCATGTTTGGCACCCCTACTTTAGATCATCACGTGGCACCACTCACATAATCTTTGCTGCCCGTCAGATACAGGACAAGTGCAGAGAATAGCGTCGTGACATGTGCATGGCTTTCATTGACCTAACCAAGGCCTTCGACTCGGTCAATAGGGAAGCCCTCTGGTAGACCCCTCAGCAGTTTTGGCTGCCCACCAAAATTCATCACCATTGTGAGGCAACTCCACGATGGCATGAACGGCAATGTCTTGCACAATGGCACCCAGTCTGAGTTCTTCCCCATCCAAACGGGGGTTAAACAAGGGTGTGTACTGGCACCAACTCTCTTTTCCATTTTCTTGTCTTCTTCCTTACTCGTGCCAGTGTCAATTTAACCGGCGGGGTGGACAAACAGTACCGGATGAAGGATCTTTTCAACATAAGATGAATCCAGGCAGGAACAAAACTGTCAACAGCTTCCATCATTGAACTTCAGTATGCAAACAGCCTCACCCTTGTCGCTCACACTGAATGCGACTTACTGGAGATCCTGAACACATACGCAGATGCGTATGCACACTTCGGCCTTGAGGTGAATGTACGTAAAACTCACATTCTCTTTCCGCCTGCCTCTGGTTCAGCCACACCTCCACCATCCAACCAGCTGAATGGTACTGCCCTCTCTAATGTTACCCACTTTCGGTATCTCGGCTCCCATCTGTTCACCACCGCGGACATCGATTATGAGATTCAACTTCGGGTTAGATGTGCATCCCAAGCCTTTGGCAAACTCCATACCCATGTCTTCAGCTGTAGGGAGTTGAAATTTGCTAAAAAGTTGCACATATATCGAGCAGTGGTCCTGCCAGTGAGACATGGGTCACACAAAAGAAGCACCTCAAGGCACTTGAAAACTTTCACCAACATATTGTACGCTCCATTCTCTGAGTTCGCTGGGAAGACAAGAGAACAAATGCCAGTATTCTCGCTGACACCAACTGCAGGAGCAGCGAGGCTACTATGCTTGACTGGCCATGTTACCCACATGGACGACAGTAGACTGCCTGAGCAGACACTTTACAGTCATAAAGAATAATAAACGTAACGCTGGTGGGCAACTGAAAAAGGTGTAAGGATCATCTTATGACAAACCTGAAAAAGTGCCAAATCGACCCCTTCACCTGGGAGACGATTACTTTACACCGTAACGCTTGGAGGACCACCACACGAGGTGTCAGTACTTTCGAGTTAGCCCAACTGCATAACGAGGCAGACAAGTGCCAGCGCTAGAAAGACCCTGCCGCCGCCCCTCCCGCACGAGATGTAGCCCTCGACACGTGCAACATCTACGAACGTCCCTGCCGATCCCGTATCGGCCTCTTCCGTCTCCTCAGAACTCACCAATGAAGGTGACATCCTTAATAGCTCATATCATTGTATCATAGCTGGAGGATCTTCATTTCCGAGTGACAGCAAAGTAGTAGTAGTAGTAGTAGTAGTAGTAGTAGTAGTGCTCTTCACTATGCCTGGTAACATTCTTTGCTGCGTCTGTGCTAGCCCGAGCCAAAACTGCACAAAATGTGTTTGTGCGAGAAACAACCGACCATGTATGGATTGCAGGAAGCTAGACCAGTGTAGGAACCCACGTCGCAGGGAGCCGACACAGGTGGCCACAGTGGATATCACCAGGACCCAACCACCCGATGATATCCGAAATGATAGCAGTGAGTCTACTCAACCTGAAAATGTAGTACTAATAAATGCTGCTCCCTTAGTAGCAGGTGTCCACGAGGAGAATGAGAGACAGCCACCTCAGTGGAATGGCATGTCGATGGAAAATGCAAACATATGGGTCAAAGAAACCTACTCAGTAATTGTCAAGTGGTCGCCCGCTAACTTATTTGAACCACCCAAGAGTGCGGCCACCAAAGAAATGATTCGGGAGATGACTCGCCTCATG